AATCAATAGCCCATTCCGCCCTTGGACGGACCCTCAAGAAGTGAAAGCCCTTCGAAGTACATTCTAATGATTCGTTAATACGAAAAATACAAAATCATCGAGTGTCTCTGTGGGTTGTGTGTAAGGGTTGAAAAAAAAAAAAAATAAATGAAGGGTGAAATTCTTTCTCATTAACAATAATACTTGATTCCACTTCTCACGTTAGGTTAGACAGCAATTGGACGGAGACACTATGGCCGCTGCTTAAGACGTTGATTAAGGGATGTTTCTCACACTTGGATGCTGGGACGTCCCAGTAGGGTTAATCAGCAAGAGACGGAAGTTCCACCCTTAGCTTCCTCGTACGCTCTTCGCAGACTCGTCACGTCCGAATTCCTTGAAACAGTGGCGGCCCGTGCTTACGTCATCGGGCGTCTCTTACCGCGGAGTCCTAATGGCGAATCAACTTTATATTCGATACTCGATTCGATCAATATTGATCTATTATTCGTGGAGATGAGCCATTCGGAATAGACTTTGAACGATGTGTCAGGATTTGAGCCGCGCCGCGTATCATCGTGAACATCCACGATAATGGCTTCGGATTACGGCGAACGTTGCTCTGGCTCCGATTAGACATTCTCGAGTGACCTGCCAACATAAATTTCCGAGTAAGCGGCCATTTGGTTTAACCTGAGAACCTTAGCGGTTCGAATGAGTTTGGCAGACGAGCGGGTATACGTATACAATTGCATGTGTGATCACGAGGATATATGTTTCCTAGGTATGTTTATATATATATATATATATATACATATTTTTGAAATCCCAATATCTCTGTCTCTCTCACTCTCGCTCTTCTCGTTAACCCATTTAGCCACGACAGAGCAGCCTGACAAGGAGTGCAGGACACGACAGAGAATATGGGACTATTAGGAACCAAAAAGAACGAGGGAAGCTGTGGGAAACAAGAAGGGCGATGGGTAATGATAAAATGCTGCTGCAGTTTTTCTTTTTTCATTTTCATCTCCTCCCATCGGCTTCCGTTTTCTGAAAATCCCTTTCTCGCGTCATTTATTATTATTAGCTGGCAATTTGACGGCACCTCGAGTGCTGCGACGGAAGTGACTAAAATTCTACGTAAGTTTCCCATTCGATTTGGCACCTTTATCCATCGTTTCGAGGGACTCGGTCGGGTCAGGGCACTTTCTTAGGGGTCGTGAAAAGGACCGTTTTTAAAAGTCACAACCCCCATTTACATGGGGGAAGATTGTCGTGTAAAATTTCGAAAATGGCACTCGACCCTTCAATTTCTTCGTGTAGGTCGAAGGGGTCCAGCGCTTTTTCAAATGATACGTAAATATCTTAAAATCTCGAAAAAAAAAGGTCCTCAGGTACCATAGGGGCCATAGCCCACGGGGCCTGTGCACCCCTTGTACATTTGCCGGTACTTCGATCCCTCAACCGCTCGATTAACCGGAGGTGCTGGAATATGAAATATCTTCCTGCGCCCCGTATGTCGTAAACGAATCCACCAAGAATAAACCTCAGGATTTTATTGTTCTCCAATTCAGTCATCCGACGGTCCCCAGAGCCGGCAGCCACGGTTTCTATACGAACTCGTGACACGAGGACGTAAGAGATAATTTGTTTCGTTCCTTCAGCGAAATTCAATTTATACAGAGATTTATACACGGATTCTCCTTCTTTTGGCAAACACGATTTACCTGCATTACATATCTATATACATATGCATTCGTGTACGAACCAGGATGCACTTTACCATATGTTCCGTACTCGGGCATATAACATATATCGTATTTACTATATCTATATACGTATATATGACACATACAATTTTGCGTTAAAACCCTACGAAACTCGGACGTGGAAATTGGCGGCAATATTTGAACCGTGTCGAAAGAATATAGGCAAAACGTGCAAAAGGTAGGGGTATCCCGGATTCCCATGGATGGAAAAAGAGGTCCTGCGAAATGGAGCCCGATTTCAATAACAATTCCGGGTTAGTTGTCTCCGAGGAAGAACTTCCTGAAAAGAGAAGAGACGCGGGCACGAGGCACGGAGAGTGTCCTGTGTGTGGTATATACCTATAGGTTTATTGAGAGACGTGTGTGTCCGTGGTGGCGAAAGACATTGTCAAGCTCCTGATTGACATTATTGCACTGCGATTGATCCGAATGGCAGGACCTTTAAAAGGATACGTGGATCCTGTCCCTGAGGATATCCGATATTCCTTGAGGATCGATATTATACTTCGAAATTGCCCTTTGTTCCCTGTAGTCTAATTTATCTTGAAATTATCTCGTATCCTGTGATAATTATCCTTGACAATTAGAAGGATACGTGAGGAGCCTCGTGAGGATCATATGGCTCCTGGTAGAATATCGAAAATTTGCGAAATTCAATCCTGTAGACGTGACGAAATCGTCGATTGAATGTTTCGCTTGGATTTTTGAAAAAACTATTATCATGATAATGATAATAATAATGATATGGGCTTTATCGTTCGTCTTGTAGGCAAAGGGCAAAAATGAGTTACGGGCACAACTGCTTTTAATTGTTGGCTAAAAAGTGAACAAATCCGTATATTATGCAAGTGACATACTCAAATTGCAATATTTTGAAATATCAGTGTATTTTAATATTATAGAAATTTTAATGATTTTTTTTTTTTTTTGAATTTTATTATCCTACTTTGTACTTGTGCTTTCTTGGAGAAACAAGCTTTTTGGTAACAAAATTAATATTGGGGTATAAAACAGAGGGTGGTTCTTCGTTTTACAGTTTCGTTCGATACCTACGTAAAGAAAAACTTAGTAAAATGGTTTCCCTTTATGGCGAATATTGCGTTCGGCCTGTAGAACAGCAGCAAAACAAAATTGCTAAAAAAGGAAAAATTATAAAACTGAAAATCTCGTCTAGAAATTTTTTTTACGAAAAACTCGTTTCACTGTTTTTTATAAAGATTCTTATTTTCCTTCTATCAATTTAGCCCTCGACATTCATCTTATAATTTAGTAAAAACGGAAAATTAAAGAAGGTCTGTCAACATCTTTTCTTTGGAGTCTTGTTTCGATTGAATTTTACACAAGTATCTTTAGTAGACGCTGAGAACGATCAAAGAGACCGCGAGATAATTATTATTAATTCCTTTTCCTCTTTTTTTTGTGTCTCGGTCTTTTCTTTTTGTTTTTCATTTTACATTACGACTGAGAAAAGTATCAATAATTCCGAATGAGCAGCGTTAACGCGATTTCCAAATTCCATAACCTCACCCTCGACATTCATCCTAACGTAGATTCGCAATCATCATGTAAAATTGAGGGACAGAAAAAAAAAAGAAATTTTAGGTAATAATCATCCCTCATTGAAAAAGTTTGAAGTTCGTCCCTGAAGAAACTGTTCCTTTCATCAAGGATAATGTGGATTCTCATAGGACCAAGGACGATCCTAAAATTACATAACACCCTTAAAATTGAAAAATAATTTTCAAATTTTTTTTCAAAAATTTCCACGTCTTGTCGCTATCTTTTTTGCAGCATCTCTTATTGCGATAACAGAACTCAAGCTACTGGTTTTTCCGTACACTTTGAGAAACGTTGACGCGCGCGTGACCCCCCAAGGGCCAAGGTCGCAGAAAAGCCCAGAAAATTGAAGCCACTGACCGAAGCCTGCTCCGAGATTAACCGTGGGATTACGCCAAGATGGATTAGTTGCAATAAACTTCGCGACGGAATTATAGACTTCCCTGGGAGATTAAGCGAAATCATTTTCCCGAAAGACCATTTGTCACGAAAAGCTTCAAATGGCGGAGTAGACGAGGGCAAAGTAGACTCGAGGTACCAGGTATTGCATTAAGGCTATGAATAATAAAAAAAATATTGATGCCTCCCCCACAATCCAATTTTCATTCGGAATAAAATTAATTTGATTTTAAAAAATTAGCTGATTGGACAAATTATTTATAAATAATTTATCAACTTTATATCTGATCACGTCTCGAGCCATGTACCCTGTCCAGGGGCCACGTCCTTAGGGGCTTACAACGCAAAAGAGTCCCCTCATTTCCAATACCGACGCTACACCCTCATATTTCTTCGTCCTACAAGATTTCAATTTATATACTTTTCAACTATCCATAGAGACATTAGTGTGTTCACATATGATACATATATGCCTACTATATTAACAACGGGTTATTACCAGAAGATGTTTTGGCAAGTCGCGCAACACTCTCGATCAATTATTATTTAGCTAGCATAATTACACGAGCGCGCCCAATTACCGTTCCCGCCGAGATTTATTCTCCGCTAATTAATCTCGTTTAATTAAAACACGCGGTCGAGACTCGCATTTTGAAAATGCGATTTCAGAGCAAAGTAGCAAAGGGCGACCAGTGCTTTTGGTGTGTGATAAATTTCTTATCCTACTCAATTTTTTTTCTTCCCACCCCTACGGCACATAGTAATTTAGTACCAATTTTCTCAATTAATGTATTATCTACCATAATCACCTGGTCTGTACACGTTTGTTATGAAAAAAAAAAATGAATATTCTTTTTCATCCAACAATTCCAAAATTCTTTATTCAAAGTTTTACATACAGACGAGTTTCTTCGTTTTAACCTGTTCCCTTGAGCTAATTGTATAAAAGCGGTCCAATTACGCGAAATCCGTAATTCATGTCGGAGCAATTATTCGGATTTAATTAAAACTCTTGCGCAGACCAAAGTCCCGCCGACACGGAGGAATTATTAATTTATATCAAAGGATCCGGCACGGTTATCGATAACAAGCTTATCTACGAGTCCAGGTTATCAACACTGTTATACTTTCGTTATTCGTTCTTGTCAGAAGAGACACCCGTTATTGGTCCTGAACTCTCTAGCCTCAACATTAGTGAAGTGGACTCACGCGTATCTTTGTCGTTAACCTGTTACGTAACTGTCCATTGAAATACACACAACGCCGATAAAAAAAATTTTGAAATTTTCCTTTCAGGCGGAATCTTCACGGAGGATCAAAAGGACAGCCCGTCGGAGCTGGCTTTCAAATACGCAATTTATAGGATAAACAAGGACAAGAGTCTTCTTCCAAACACGTCACTAGTATACGACATCGAGTACGTACCGAAGGACGACTCATTCAGGACATCCAAAAAAGGTTTGTCTTATCTCGTATATTATCAATAGACCTCCCACGTGCGGATAAAGTCACTTTCTCGTGTCAGAATGAAAGAAAAGGATTTTGGGCTCTTTTGAATTTACCGCCAAAGCGAACATTTTTAAGATTAAAGGTAACTCCCTCACTCTGCGAAAGTGTCTTGATCCTTGGATTTTTCGAAGAGTCAAATCAAATGCTGTCTACGAAGGTATTGCTTTCTTAAGAGGAATAGTTGAGGATCAATGAAGATCACAACGGAAAGGCTTTTATTCTTTGGTCTCTTACGAAGAACAAACGAAGCAATTTTGAATGAATCCTGTCAACGGAGTTTTCCGGTATTGAAAACTGTATTTCCAGTAGCTATATGTCTATGGGATATGTTTATATTTCGAATAAGCATCGTCCCTCGGGAGACGCTTAAAGCTCCCAGCCGGAATACAAGAAGAGAGAGAAAAGGACGCGAGATCAGCGAGATTCAACCTTACAGTTGATGAAAGTGGAGAGTTCGATAAGATACGATCGTTCGATCTGATAAAAGACAAAGGGACTTCCGGTAGAGCTGAATAACCAAGAAAATTGGTTTACCAGTTGGATTTTCCGAAGGTTTCTAAAACAAGCCTAAAATTGGAAAAAAGGAGAGAGGAGAGGCATAGGCAAGTGGAAAAGGACGAAATGGGGTAAAAAACAGAAAAGGAATTGGAAAAAATCGAGATTTGAAATTAAGACGAGAGGGTGGTGGGGTGAGTCGCACCCAATCAACTTGAGCTAATTAATTATCCGTTAGGCTCGGACCCTAATTTTTATTAATCCAGTATAAAACCAAAAAAGTTACCGGTTCGTTGGTCCAGATTCTCTTTTTCTCCCCCCCCCCCCCCCACCCCC